TATATATATATATATATATATATATATATATATATATATATATATATATATGTATATATTCAAGTTAAATAAACTAAAAAACATTTTAAAAAAAGAATTCTTTTACAAAAAATAAATTTAATTTCGTAATACTGCATCGATATATTAATATATACACCAGGATATATTTCACTGTAGTCTTCATATTGTATGTATTCAACTTTTCCACGCAGTATAATACAAATGCATATACAACAGCAGCATGAAAGAGAAATACAAAAGATAAATATAAGTTCGTGAGACAGCGCAGCTTACTGCTGCTGTCAGAGCCTCTGCTGCTTCGTGTTTGTTGGTGGTCTTCATCTGAATCAGAAAGCCCATTGATTTCTCGTTTTTCACACTTTTCTTTTTCTTCTGTCTGATATGCTGCTGATATTTCTTTCTCTTCATCTGTTTCTTCTTCATGAAATACTGCAGCATCGGACCCCTCACTAACAGTTTCTGAATCGCTTTCCTCAGAGCCGCTGCTCTCGGCCTCACGCCGCTCTGCCAATGCAGATTCAAGTAGTTTCACTTGCTGTTCACTGAGACCATCAGAGATAGAAATTAAATCCACTGAAGATTCTCTTTCTTCTGCTCCTTCTTCTGCTGCTTCTTCGTCTGGCTCCCCGGCAGCTCGCTTCGCCTCCGCCGGCGGCCTGGACCGGCGGTCTATGACGTCTTCAAAGCTGGGAAAAACGCAGGAAATAAACAAAAGGAATAATTTAATCAAAATATAATTCGAAAAAAACATGATAATTATTCTCATGCTAGCAGAAGGCAGAAAGAAACACGCGGATCTCATCTCATCGCTCTTCACTTACCGCGGAACCGTCGTGACATCCACCAAAAATTTCCTTTCAAAAAGCCGCTTTATGCACTGAACATCGCGGTCAAAGTAAAGAGCAGCATTTGGGTGATATATTGATACCATCTGAGGAAGATCTGTTGAAGCAGATGCAGAAAGCAAAAAAAAAACAAAAAAACATGAACTGCTAGAGCTGCGCATACACCGGAACAGAGGAAAGCTGAACACATGCGATCTTCCGATTTTTTCCAAACATTTCCGAGTTTTTAGAACATTTTCGTAATATTTATGTATTTTTATTGTCTCACCGATCATCGTGATGCGCCCGTTGTCGCTGATCATGAGGTTGAATTCGTTGAAGTCGCCATGAATGAGCCCGCAGTGCGCGAGGCGAACAACGAGTTTCATCAGCTTTTCCAGCACCGTCAGCGGGTCCTGCAGCTCCCTCACCTGCATGCAGGCAGAAAGCTGCTGAAGCAGCACATGTAAGAAACGCAGCGGCGAGACAGAGAGCCCTCCGTCTCTGCTCAGCGGCAGTGAGCCCTTTTCTGAGAAACAAACTCATTTCCGTTGCTTGAAAACGAAAAGTATTCGCTGCATGTGCATCCATCAGCCTTTACTGCGCTCTGCGCTCTGCTTCCCTGTCGCTTTGTTTTGTTCTCTCAACGCTTCCTGAGTTGTATTTCAGGTGTACGTTCAG